AATATCACTTCATCCAAAGTAGACAAACAAAAGTTTTTTTTACCAGTAAGGGTTAATAAAAGTCTTCCAAAAGAAAACAAAACTGTAAATATAGTGAATTGTTGCCCCTACACAGACACCCCTCACCCCCCAGACTCCAACTAGGAAATGAAAAGATGGGAGAAATAACAAAAAGGAAGAGAAGGTGCACAGAAACATAGAAGCTTTGGAAACTGGAAATAAAATACTCAGACCTGGATAGAAATCCAGAGAAAATGTCAAGTATCAATTTATGATGCACAGTGGACAGTCTTGTAGGCCAATGCTGTGACATAATTCTATAAAAATTATATTTTATCCAGTGGTAGTGAAGTGGTAAGTTATGTGACTTTACAGAAAAACACCCCAGAAAGGAGTACAATATTGCACGTACTTTACTTCACAGCCTTCATTTCTGCTTCATAGCAACAGCCATGGGAGACACCGCACGCATTTCAGTTTCTGTGCAGGAATGTTTTACTTGTGAGATTGGAGTTAAACAACATGAGGCAAGGAGAAGCACAGCCTGATTTTTGAACACCACTGACAGCTGAAAGACCTTTGTTGCTGACCAGTGAGTTTAAGTCAGTCACGCTTTGCTTAGAAGCGGCTGAACTGACTCTCACGAAACCAGAAACAAAAATTCTTTTCTGTTCTGATATTCTCCATCTTAGGCTTTCAACGTGAACCCAACCAGCCACTCATGAGTGAGGTCCAATCATCGCCACAAATTAAAATGGGATAGGAAAAAACAAAACAAAAAACCCCTAAACCCAAACTGCTTCCAAATACATTCAACACAGACATTCACTGCATTTGTATACAGTAATCCCAGAGAGGTGGTGTAAGTAGATTCAGGTATTTTTTGAGCCAGCACTTGAGAAGTTAATTTGCCCCACACCCTCTGTCGCTGTCTCTGTTCCCATCTCTCCTCCTTAACCACACAGAGGTATCTTCAAAGCCTGGAAGCCGCCTCAGCTCCTGTCTTAGGGTTGGTGATGTCACCTGGCAGTAGAGTGTCCAAATTTAAAAGTCCCTTCATCGCAGGCAGCCCAGTGCTGCGGTTCTCCAGCAGCAACACCTTCCCAGGGGTAGGTGGCAGTGCTCAGCTGCTGGGTAACGCTTCCTAAACGGATGCTGACCCTGTGTCATCCTCATGGGAGACAGCAAGCAACCCCACGGGTTGTTGTCTTGTTATTTAACTGCCGTGTAAGTCACATTATTTCAAACATTTCCTACATCTGAAAATGTTTTCCCAAGCTGTAATCAGACAACGCACCGTTTACTTGACTGTTTTAACTCGGACAATGTTAAACTGACAATTGTTAGAATTGTACCTCGGTCTCCTTTGTGCTGTCCTTTCACTTAGGGATCTTTTTGCCTCCCAGCATTTTATGTCAAAGTAAACGATCAGTTTCCAGTTATTCTGATACGTGGTACTGGGCTTTGCTGAAGTAAGAGAGGCTAATTAGATCCTGCTGTAATGTACACCAAATGTTCTGCAGTCCCAACCATCAACAAGATTCTGCCCAATATAAACATTTATATCGCTGACTCTTTAAAGAAGGAATGTTAAAAATCGTAATTATGCTGTAGGGGGGAAAAAAACCCAAAACATGCTGATGAATCAATTCAACTACATTCATGCAGCCACAGACCATTTTACAAGAACTGTAACGGGGGCTAGGCATTCAAATGGATGTAGATGCTGTAGGGAGCCTGGTCTCTAAATAGACGTTATGGTAGATTTTGCCTACACCTTATTTCTCCTCTGAGTCACAGCCAGCCATGGGATGTAGCAGTTACATCCCGTGTCTGACTATCAGACACACATTCCAGCTTATTTGCTAAAACAAGTTTTCAGAAATACTCATCACCACAACAGGCAGATTTGCAGTACTGAAGGTAGCACTCAAATACAATTTTTAAAAACTTGATAGTATAAAATAGTTATTTCTTTAATCAGCACTCCTCTGACAACCGCCTACTTCTTCAGACAGGGGTAAAACTGACTGCGGAGCACACAGGTTTTGCCTTCTCCGGCTTGGATTGCCCACAGTAAGACCACTACAGCCACAGTCTCCTTCCTCAAGCCAATCCCAA